TATGCTACTACACACATCCTACAGCAGTAATGCGCTGTATTTCAACAGCGGATGTCGGGCATCATACCTGTGGGGTTTGATTTGATTCGGTGGGGCACGCGGCTGGAGCCCTGAGGCGTGAAATGTTTTAGGGCTTTTGTTTTTGATTTGCTCATTTGATCATCATCACTGACGGGCTTGCTTACTTAGTCTAGGCGTTCAAAACGTGCGTTGTGTTTGGAACTCCCAGGGCTAATATCCACCGCCAAGATTCCATGGAGGGGGAGGGAGGGAAGTGGCGCAAACGTATGTATGTTGCCGCAGTAGGAGCATCGGCACACGCGCAGCATTTCCCAGCTTTTTTTTTTAGGAGTGTCCAAATCGGGTACACCCGGCCCCAACCCGGCCATTATCGGGTACACTTGTTTCTCACAGTCGGCAGCGCCCTCCTGGCGCCATCTGATTGGCCGACGCCCGCCCCTACCCGGCCCTGACCCTATTCCCACCGGGTGCACCCGATCTTGGCTACTCACCCCCCGGAGTGGTACCCGATCTTACTCTCGCCTACCCGAGAATGGCTGGGCTATTCGACCAACAGACCACCAGCAGACCACGCTCACGAACACCAGTCACCAGCATCCCGCACTCGAGTTCCGACGCTTCCGACGGCGGGCGGAGGCGGAACTAACGCGGCTAACGCGGCGGAAATCTCGTTTGAAGTGAATCTCTCTCCTGCAAGACTCCTCCTGCAACCCACCGCCGACGGCGGAACTCTCTCGGTTCTCGGTTCGTATCGGAGAGGGAGGAGAGAGAGGGCCAGGCGGGCGGTGGTGGATGAATACCTCTCAATACCTCACGTGATCACTTCAGCTGCACGCAAATACATGACGCAGCTCAGATATGTCCACGGAAGCATCAGGCACAGAAGCATCAGGCACAGAAGCATCAGGGTGTCGCTTTCGTCTAGAATACATGTATGGACACATCAAGACCGGAGGTGTATGGCACGTTGTTGTGTACGCAGAGGGTCGTTCGTACACAGCAATGCAGCAGCAGCAGGCAGTGGATGCCGTGGTTATGTCTCGATCAAGACCGGAGATATATGACACATTGTTGTGTAGGAAGGGGATGGTACAGTAATACAGCAGCAGCAAGCAGTGGATGCCGTGGGACCTCGGATTAAACAGCGATAATCCTTCCTTGACTTCGACCTCTTGTGAGTACGTGGGGGAGACAAGGAACTGCGGGCTTGCCACAGGAGATAGTCTAGATGTGGAAAGATAGAGAGAGTGGTGGTACACGCAGCATGAACGCTGTCCAAAGATGGCTGGTGGTGATGTAGCACGCGCCTTGCGAGAGGACCGCGGTGTTCTCTACTTCATCGCTCATATTCTGCCGATGCTAGTAGACCGTTCAGGTACGAGTGCCGAGATTAACCACGAGAGACTTGGTGGGGAGCGAGATCTACTTGCAGGAGCGAGATCTATGGTCCGTTCGGGCAAATATTCACAATATTTTCCCCTGCACAAAGGTGCATGTTGGATAAACCGGGTAGGCCGAAGCTTGTAGGTTTGTGGAGAAAGGCAGCTCGGCCAGTGAGGGCCGAGATGGGAAAGTCTTGTATTAGAGAGGGAAGAGGGAAGGGCAGAGGGATTCAGCTTGCAGGGATACGCTGATGCGGACTTTGCAAGCAAGGCAGCAGACCGTAGGTCGGTATCAGGGGGGATCGTGACGTGTGGAGGAGGCGCTGTGTCTTGGTTTTCCAGAACGCAAAAATGCGTCACGCTTTCGACGACAGAAGCAGAGTACGTCGCGCTAGGCGACGTAGTGAAGGAGATTTTGTTTTTGAGGCAGATTTGGCGTTTCATGTTGCCGCAGGTCGGCATGCCGTGCATCCCCGTCTTCGAGGACAACCAGGGGGCGATTCAACTAGCGCAGAACCCCATCTCAAACTCGAACTCGAAGCACATTGATGTAAGGCACCATTTTCTCAGGGAACTGGTAGAGAGGAAGGAGATTTCGGTGATTCACGTGCCGTCTCCGTACCAGCGTGCAGACTTTCTTACGAAAAGTTTGCCCAAGGATGCGTTCGAGTCTCACCGTGATTTTGTGATGAATTTGGCATGAGTTTTTATTATTTTTCTGGGTTTGGCTTTCGATTTGATTGTTTTGCTTTCCGCGCTAAGTTATTTTCACGCGCGATGAAGCAGTATTCATGTTTCTTGGACTTGGTTTTCGTGTCATATATTTTGGAAGTAATCTTGATCGCATATATTCAGGAAAAGACGTCTTTTGGTTGAGATATCCGATATTGTTTCGTAGTTTGCAGTGAAGATACTGTTGCGAGCAGGGGGGGTGTAAGATATACTCGCAGCAGTCTCTAGACGTGAGGATCCTCGGGGATACGTGTTGAGAATTTCGTATGTTGATGGGTACCACCGATGCAGATACGGGGACCCTTTTGGCCTTGGTTGCGGTGTTGAAGGCTCGCGCATCTAGCGCACTGCTTTCGCTCTCTCCACCGCTACCGCCGTCTCTCTCCAATCAACTTTCCTTCTCCAACGCTTTCTCCACGCCAACGCAATCTCAATCTCTACCTCTCTCTCTCGGCCTAACACGGCCGACTACCCACTGCCCCAACAGACGCCCAACACGGGCTTGCTGCACCCCGCGTAGTTTACCTTTCATGTCGATCCTCTACTTGTAACTCTAACTCTTCAGGGTAGCACCCTAAGTTCATTCACGACTCATTGCTGTTGTCGGCAAGTAACGAGCGTGCTCCGCAGCACAGATTTTTATTGCTGAAACGTTACAATGCTTGGGGAATAGGTGCAAGATGTCACGAAGCTGGGTAGCGGGACTTAGGGGTGCTTGGATGTGGATTACGTACACCGCACGCAAAGCTACGTGTATGGCATGATTACGAAAGCACTACTGTATGCATACAGCAAGTACGCTGTAGTGTCGACGATCACGCATTGACATCGAAATACCCAAAGTGGGGTGTGCATTGTTGTACACCACGTCCACCTTGCACGCAATGATTTCAAGCTGGAGCCGACACGTCTTCGCCACCCCCAGGTTTCCATGGCAAAAAAGGGCACACGCAGCAGGAGCTTGCACCCATCCTCCCAGGTTCGACCCATGGAGGCAAGAACATGCAACTCCATTTAAAAAACAACGACGCGGAACAATCACGATTTGGTGGAGCGGATCATGCGCGGAGAGCGACACTCAGCAGCCGTGACGCTACATACCTCATGACCAGCCTCTGCCAGATGTTCCGCCAGGAGAACCAGCGGCTTTGCATGGCCATAGCAAGGCACGCAGCAGAGCACGAGGCTCAGAGGAGGACACGCCATGACGATGTGCGGCGTGTAGCTGTAGGAGAGGCGTGACTGATCTCCGCGCGCGACGTTTTCGGAGATTTGGGTGTTGTAATCGTTGGCGTTTTCGCCCGTTGAGAGTTGACGAAGAGAGAGGAAAGAAGAGCAGCGACACCACGCCCCAACCCCAGCAGCAGCAGCAGCAGCAGTTCCTGCTGTGCTCACCATCCCCACTGAATAGCAAGACATCGACCACGTCACCGACCCTGCTGTGCAGGGTAGGGGGTGTTGGCCGCAGCAACAAGACGGCTGCAAAGCACACACAGAACGGTCCTGGGGAAGTTTTGATAACTCACAGCAGGTAAGCGAAAGAGCGCCGCTGTTGCTGCTGCTGCCGCTGCTGGAAGCGAAGGCGAGAGTGGATGTGACTGGCTGCACTCGAGGAAGCCAACATCGCTGCTGAAGTAGTTGAGGTGGGGACCATTGCTTTCTCCGCGCGGTCGCCTCTGGAATGTACTGGGTGTACGATACGGAAGGCAGTGTTCTTACTTCAGACCAGAGAGGGTAGCAGCAACCGTAAGTTGTTGCTGTGTGTTCAACTGGACCCCTGGAGATTGGATATGATGATATCAGGTCGTAATTCCAGAGTAGATTCTTAGAGCTAAAGCGCTGCAGAGGAAGATGGTGCTCTGCCCCAAGTTTTACATGTTCACGCGTTGAGACAGCGTACAACTGCTGCTGTAGGATAGTCTAGTGACCAACCGACCTTTCCCCAACTGTTACGCTTCACGTTTCCGATATCCACAGCAGCTACTGAGGTGAGGGTGGACAATCACAGCAGGCTGTCCGATCACAACCGATTGTCGAGAGCCGTAACGTGACGACGGGAGACTTCGCACACGCTCATACCCTTCCCATAAAAAATGGCGATGGAAGACTTGATTCCGGTCGTCAACAAGCTGCAGGATGTCTTCAGCGCGATCGGGCAGACGCCCATCGACCTCCCACAGATCGTCGTCATCGGCTCGCAGAGCTCGGGCAAGAGCAGCGTCCTCGAAAACGTCGTGGGGCGCGACTTCCTGCCCCGAGGCACGGGCATCGTGACCCGCCGCCCCCTTATCCTGCAGCTCTACAACACCGCCGGCACCATGGGCGGCAAGCGCGGGAGCTCGGGGGTCGCTGCTGCTGCTGCTGCTGCTGTTGCCGGCCCCGCCGGTGCCACCCCCATCGCCCCTCCCACACCCCCCCGCAAAGAATCCGGCTACACGGTAACCGGTAGGCAGGACTCGGGTTCTGGAGGGCTTGTCGGGGGGCGTGTGGCTGCTTTCGGGGGGGGTTCGAACGGCTCGGTGTTGCCTGGGGGGGCGCCGAGGACGCCGAGCAGGACAGGCCGGAGCGGGCCCGGGGCGGGGGGGGGTCTTAGCCCGCCGCCTAGCCCGAAGCCGCCGACGCCGGAGAGAGAATGGGGGTGAGTTTTGAGCCATCCTGGGGAGGGAGGTGGGCTGGAGAAGAAAGCATGGAACACTGGTGTTGGTGCTGTGCGTTATGTCCGGGGTCCTTTTGTGTGGGAGAATCTGGCTCGGAGGTCTTTGCGCGTGGGAATTGTAGAGTTCGCGATTATACCTGCATGTTGTACTGGATGCAGGAGAACCAATGTAGTCTGCAGGTAGGTCTATCATGTTCTGGCTCCCGGGCAATTCGATGGAGAAGCCGCGAGGCCCTAGGACCAAAATAGCACTGCGTAAGCAGCACAACTTACCACATGTGTTTGCATTTGTGAGCTGTATGAACACCATCAATTACAACGCGTTTTCTTCCCCTCCCCACTCTCGCCTTTGACGTCGCAAATGACGACAGGGAATTCCTCCATCTCCCTGGCCAGAAGTTCTTTAACTTCGCCGAGATCAGGGAGGAGATCATCCGCGAAACGGACAGGCTGACGGGCAACAACAAGGGGATATCCGCCAAGAGCATCAACCTCCGGATCTACTCGCCCTTCGTGCTTAACCTCACCATGGTTGACCTGCCGGGCATCACCAAGGTGCTCCGGCCAGCAGTTTCAGCAGCAGCAGCATCCATTGCTTTTTACTTGGAAGAAATATTTTTTCCTTTGGTTCCACACTCGTACCATCGCTTTGCTCTCCTTGCCTCCTTGCACAAGCCCCGCATATCGTGAATGGCGCAAACGCCCAGGTGTTGGCGACGACCGGGCGTGTAAGAGCGTGTGTTTTGCGCGGTTGGAGACGTAGCCGTCGTCTGCCCCCTGTTTGTCTTTATAGCTTCCAACGAGTGTTCCTTCTGTCCCTCCGCGGTAGGTGGCCACGGGAGACCAGCCGGCCGACATCGAAGAGCAGATCCGAGACATGTGCTTGCAGTACATCAAGAACCCGAACGCCATCATCCTCTCCGTAACGTCGGCGAACACCGACCTGGCCAACAGCGACGCCCTCAAGATGGCGAGGGAGGTGGACCCCAAAGGGGACAGGACCGTGGGCGTCCTCACCAAGATTGACCTCATGGATCCCGGTACGAGGAAGTATTAGAGACGACCCCCCCCCAGGCAGGCGCCTGTTGTTTGGTGGGAAACTGTCGTTTTCTCGCTCGTGAATACTGTTCGTGGTGTGTGAGTTGACATCGTGGGTTGCCTTTCTTTTGTTCGGATGTCCTCGCTCTCGCAATATGGCCCGTCCTCTAGTGCCAAGGTGAGCATTACATTGTCATGTAGGATGACTGCTAGCCGGTACCACCGCCAGGCGGTTAGTGTGTGTGCTCAACGAGTGCGCTATCCGTGTTGCTGTGCGAGCAGGCACCGATGCTGGGGACATGCTGGACAACCGAATTATCCCCCTCAAGCGAGGGTTCGTGGGTGTAATCAACCGCGGACAGAAGGACATTGATGACGGGGTCAGCATTCGGCAGGTGGGCGCTTGGTGCGCTGCGTCCTACAGACGCTATCCCCGAGTTCGTTGTTTGCAGGACCGTTTTTTTATCCTGCCCCAAGCCAAAAGTTGAACAATGTGCAACGGAAATAAGCTAGGTTAAGCACCCCAGTTTGCGGTTGTTGTATTGAGCTGAAGCCGAAACCAATTTGCGAAGATGTCTTCAGCACCTTAGCTTCACCGCCAAAAGAACGGTCCCCTGTGGCGATTGGACGGAACGAAATACTCGCCTGTGCCAGTCTTGACGTCACCGCACTCATTGCATTGCCGGTGCGGTCGCGGCGGTGCTTGGCAGTATGCAGGCCCGTTTTTTGTTTGCCGATGCCTGTTCACGTTTCAAAATTGTGATACTGTCTGGTGTCGGGTCCGGGTGACTGTAGTATTGTAGAATTGTCAAATCATTCTTCTACGGGTTGCAGTTGTTGTCTTTGGAAAGTGCATGCGGCCTGTGGCGACACCAATCGCCTTGTATTGCCTGACTCCTCACCGAGCTTTGCAAGTTTGGACTCAGCCGGTGTTGTTGTAATTTCTTCCGCGGGCGGCGGTATGGACAACAGGCCCTTCAAAAGGAGGCGGCGTATTTCAGAGACCACCCCGCCTACAAAGGCCTCGACAAACGCGTTGGAACGACCAACCTTTCCAAGACCCTCAACCAGGTGATTTGACCCGAGTTCGTTTCTAGCATGCATTTTATGACAGCTTTCGTGCTTGAGTGCAAAAAACCCGGCGGGCATTTTCGTTGGGCTACCCACGCGTACTGTAGTCTTGTCTATTGCTCCCGCGGCGTATTCCTGTCCTACAACGGTGACGCTAATATTTCATTTGTCTGTACATTGTTGTCACTACAGTTGCTGTTGAGGTGGGTTACTTTCATTCTCCTGTTGCACAAAATGCAGTGAAATTGGAGTTGTCCTGTCCAAGGTTATGCGGTGGAACTGTAGTAGGCAAAGAAAGATTCCGCCGCGCCTTATCGAAATGTGAACGTGCAGATCTTGATGCATCACATCCGGGACTGTTTGCCGGAGATCAAAAGCAAGCTGAACGTGATGATGCAGAGCGTGTCTCAAGAGCTGGCAGAGCTCGGCGAGCCGACGGACTGCGTGTCCGGCGCCTCTCTCACGGCTACCTTGGTGAGAACCGAGGAACGAATAGCTGCTGTCGCTTGGTGCCACAGACATAAAGGCACGAGAGAGACAATGAATCCGAAGACGTGCGATGTTATTATCGTGGACCTAACGTGATCGTGGGTATTTTTGGCCCCAGCGACCTGCTAAATGCTTTGGTCGAACGATTTTATCGTTGCTGTTGCCTTGGGTTGAAGCTGCCGGTTGATCTCGTCCGTAGCGTCATCAGTAGTGCTTGTGCTCTCCGTTTTTGGCGAAATACATGCCGGCATCCCGAGTGCACAGCCGCGACTGACCTTCCTCCTCACCCCTCGGCACCGCTCGTTGTCCGTAACCGTTACGGCGCGTTCTTTTCTCCCTTCAAACATTTTTCTTTGGTTGCATCGTGGCAGCTTACTCTCTTGTCCAAGTTCGCGTCCAACTTCCAGGCGGCGGTCGATGGTCGAGGCTCGTCGCCGGACGGAATTGAAATGAACGAGCTGTACGGCGGGGCTAGGATAAGGTGCGTGACGGGAGCGAGCTACGGTACGCCGCCGTGAATGGTACAAGGGGAGCAAGAAAGGCGACGGTTGCCTCGTGATTGGTGGCATCGTCCGGGTGACGGTGGAAGTGATAGTGGGGGTTCGACGAGGACCGTCGGTGTCCGTGGACGGCTGGAAAGTTCCTGGAAATTTCTCCAAGAAGAGCGTGGGTTTGACGTCGTCCTCGCCTGGTCGTGATGGGGGGGGTTTGCTCTCTGTTCCACTTTGTTTGTTAGGTTGATGGAAGTTATCGTGGGGGATAATATCACTGGTAGCTGGGAGCAGACTACTCGTCCGTTGCCTACCGGACACGGCAGAGGAACATTTGGCGTGGTTGCTCTTGTCGTCTGCCAGCCCAGCCGTTGCTGTCGCTTGTTTCTTTGCACACGCTATACTCCGCGTCCTGCTTCAGTTGTTCTCTACAGCCTGTGGGTGCTGCCGCAAATGCTGCCGTTTTTTAATCGATTCGCTGTGCCCCCGCGTGCTGCCGCTGCCGTTCGTGCCCACGGCAGCTACATTTTCCACGAGATCTTCTCTCACAGCTTGGCCACCATCGACCCCTTCGAGGGGCTCACGGACCAGGACATCCGAACGGCCATATACAACGCCAACGGCACCAGGCCTAGCCTCTTTGTGCCGGAGATGTCGTTTGATCTGCTCGTTCGCAAGCAGATTGCCAGACTGGAACAGGTGGTTGATCCACGTGTTGACTTATTGGGCGAGGCGGGATGCCGTTTTCGCAGCACTTTTTTTTTTCGTTGCGTCCCGTCGCCGTTAGGCCAAAGCTTGAGCGGGCGAAGGGACCGTTGAGGGTAATTTGCACTGGTGGCAGTCAAGGGAAGGGTGGGGAAAGAGGTGTTGTACATCGTGCGACAACGGAACATATGTCAAGGGTAGAGAGGACGGCAAGTGTGGGAGGAGGCCGAAGCCACGGTTTTACATTCAGGCCTCGCCGTGCGTTTAGTGAAGACGGTGTTGTCGGGATCAATATTTTCTCGATGGCACGAAGGAGTCAAGTGCAAAAGCCAAAAGTACGCTTTCGAGGGAGACGTGGCGGCGAGACTTATTTTTCTGAAGCACAAGTCAAACGTCCGATAACCCTTGCCCTACACTTGTGTGCCGTTGGTTTACATCCAGCGGCAGCGTTGCAAAGCTTCGCCTAGGGCATAGCCCACCTGACCGCATGATCTTTTCACCCCCCCCATTGTACTGCCGTCTCTATGGTCTTTGTTTCTATCTTCCATGGTGCATGATCCATGCAGCCTGGCCTCCAGTGCGCTGACTTGGTCTTCGACGAGATGCAAAGGATCGCGGCTCAGTGTGAGGGGACGGAGCTGACCCGTTTCCCCTGCTTGCGAGACCGGATTGTGGAGGTTCGTAAGAGAGGGGGCTATATAATAGTGCTAGAATTGTGCTATTGTAGTATTGTTCGTTGGAGATGAAAGGATATCCACTGCTTGCGAAACAGTTCAATGGGTGCTGACGTCGCTCCGCCGACTAGCCGCCGTCCTTCTCTCTCGGTACTTTTCCTCTCTGGTCCCCGTGGCGTCTTTCGTGTGAGGAAGTTTTGCGCTGTAGGAATCGGAAGTTAGGTCGTGAAGAACGTAGGGTTTTGCTTCCCAGCAGGGCATATGAAAGGGCCGTATAACTGCTTGCTACCATACAGAGGCTGTACTTTGTGATACATCGGTTTTCGTTGACTACTCTACGCTTTCGAGCTGTGTTCCACCGACCACTCTCCACCCTCCCACCTCAAGCAAGAGCACCCCAACGGCTCTCTCTCTTCTCTCTGTTGTTGCGAAATGTTTCAGGTGAATCACCAGCTGCTTCGAAAGTGCATGAACCCTACGCAAGTGATGATCTCCAACTTGATTAAGGTGGATGAAGGTTGAGAGGTTGGGCTTTGCGGCTGGGGGGGTGCATGGTCAGCGGTGGACACTCTTTGTGTTTTTCATATGGTTCTTGTTGTCCGAGAATCTAGCTTGCCGTTCCAAACGCATTTCTTGTGTGTTGTATGTCGTAGCATTTGTGAACCCTGCGGTGTAACCCTTCTGACCAATTGACTTGCGGGAGTGCAGGGGGTAGTGCCCAGCGCACATGTTCCCTGCATCTAACCAATTGCGCAAGCGTACTCTGCGCAGGGTGCCGAGCTCTTTTTTTTCGGTGGTGTGTGTAAGCTTGGCTTTATTTTTCCGTTTTTTTCTTTGACCGGGAGCAGCTGGAGCTGGCGTACATCAACACTTCCCACCCCGACTTCATCGGAGGCAGCCGTGCGATCGCCGAAGTTATGGAGAGGAATAGGACACCCAACGGGGGTGGCGGTGGCAGCAGCGGAAACGACGTGAGAAAAAAGAACAAACAGTTCATACCGTTGTCCTAGATCGGCGGGAAATGGAAGCGCGTAGTTAGTGCTCCCCTCGGCGTGTATTGGGAAACACGGAGCAATGTTACTTGATAAAACTTGAGGTTGTGGTCCGGCTGCCAAGATTGAGGGGCTCTTCTCCTAAACAGTGATAATCTTTATATGTTCTCAGACTGGCAGCGTTATTTTTCTTCTCTTTCGCCGCACAGCGTTACCTGGGCCGTCCGTCGGACCCCTTCTCCTCTCTGCGGCCTCGTGATGTACGCGTGTGCGTTGGTCGTCGATGACCCGTTGAGTGCTGGGAGTTGTGTGCGGTGCATCCGCTCCGCTCACAACCGCTGGCAGGCAGCACAGTGACCCCGCAGTAGTCTTTCCCTTGTTCAGTCGTGTTCCTAACCACCAATCCTCCCAACTAGCCTGCCCTGCTGAATCCCATAATTCGAAGCTCGCCGACCGTCCCTTAGCGAACCTTCTTTTGCCCCCCCCCGCCCCTTCCCGCCCCCGTCCGGTGTTTGCCATCGGGGTTGGGTTTTCGTCGCTTGGCAACGACGTTGTAAAACAAGCCGCCCCCCCCGGTGTTTGCCATCGGGATTGGGTTTTCGTCTCTTGGCAACGACGTTGTAAAACAAGCCAATTCACTTCGTGAACTCGGCAACCAGGTTACCGTTTTTTTTACCTCCGGTTTTTTTTTTGGCGGTAACCATAATGGTGGTCGAGTAGATCATGTTGTGCGGGGTGGAGAACACTCGCTCCGCGCAAGGGGGATGATCGCACCACGTTGTGTTAAAATGGTCAAGCACCCTCGAGGCAGTTACACAGTGCTTACAACTGTCTCTGGAAGTGAAAGCACCAGAAAATAAATTAATTCATACGCAGCTGTCATCCGTACGCAAGGAAGTAAGCACAAGATGCCGAACACCCTTAGCAGGATGCAGCGCACCCTTCATGCGACTCGCCGAATATCTCA